ATAATGCCAACCAAACAAGAACTCCAGGACCACCGAACGATGTCTTTCCTTGATGTTACTGGGATAAAACCGGGTCCCGATCTCTTCCAAATCAAAACGTTGAGAATCGCTTCTGGTACTGAACGACTCTCAATCCGTAAAGAACACGACTCCATTGACCCAGTTGTCCATTTTTGTGCTCTCTGTCCCACTGTAAACGGTGGCTTCGGTGGCCATCTTTCAGCGGAGGCAGCATTCAGGACGGTGGGAGAACGGCCCCTTTGTGAAGGCGTCTGGCCGAGAAAACCCTCCTTGTCGACCTGTTGCTGTACAGGTTTCTGAGCAATGACGCTTGTTGACTGCTGTCGAACTTTTCACCTGCAGGATGATGTTATCGGTCATCCCTTGCGTTTTCGTTCTCGGCTGCCACACCAACCTTTCTAACCAGCTGTCCCTGGGGTTTGGAACGCTTTCCAAGCGCGCGAAGCACATTTTTTGTTGATTCACTCTGCAGCTACACTGGTGACAGTACGCCCCTCCTCCAGTTTTCCCGATCATTCTTCCACGTGTGAAGTCATCCAGATGATTTCTTCAGCCATATTTCACGAACTGCTCACTGGCACTTGCAGAATATGGTTTAAATTGCGTCTCCGTCCTTATTTCATTCTACTGTTGAGCAGCGCGCGCCGACATCACGCGTTTTGCGTACGCTGACATCGCTTCGACGTTTTGTTCCTGATATTTGCATACCGCAGCGTTTCACTGACTTACGTGTTCGTCTACTGATCTCCAGACCTCTTTTCTGCAATTTCATGGCTATCTGCTAAATTTTTACATTTTTTCCAAGTTTTGCACACCAGTGTATATAAAAAAATAATAAATTATTAAATAACTATATGTTTTCAATGGAATAATACGAACATATATATATATATATATATATTTTATATATATATATATATATATAAAATATATATATATATATATATATATATATATCCGTCCCAAACTCGCATGTAACAAATGGGTTCAATACTTATGTATCCAAATCGGGGGAAGAATTTTACAGATCATATTACAAGATACAATAGACAAATTTAAAGATACTTCTATTATAAAAACCCGCCATGATATAATAAAGAAGGTTGAGCAACAAGAAGTATTTTCTGTGCATGGATTCGATTTCGAAGATTTATTTAACTCCATCAAAATAGAAGATATAATTCAGTTACTTTCAGATGCATATGTGAAACATGTTTTGAATGGTTACATTAGATTTGAAAAATTCAATACACCAATTCGTTTTGTAATACAGGAGAACTTCATTATTTTTTATAACATATTTTACAAAGAAATCAAAGGATTACCTCAAGGAGGCCGAATCAGTAATAGTCTCGCTAACCTGTATTTACACACTATGAATCAAATCGAAGAAATGAACCATCTTGCCTCTTATTAAGATACATAGATGATTTAATTGTTATAGGTCGTGACAGGGAATTTAAACTTAGCATTATTTTTATCCGGAATGCCTAAAATTAATACAGACAAATTTTATCTCGAACAACGTTGAATTTTTAGATTTAGATTTAAATATTATTGACAACAAACTATATAGTAATATCTGTGATAAAAGAGAAGCATTCAACTTCAATGTCATAAAGATACCGAACTTCAATAGTTGTTTACATATACCAATATTTAGAAATATAATTTTAAATTTTTTGATGAGAAATAATAATTTAACTACACACAATATTAATAAATTCAAGAACATCCAGAAATTTATATTTGGTTGCATACAGAATGATTACCCCATGAACTTCTTCAGAAAATACGTAGATCAAAAATATTCCTTAAAAATCTTTTTAAACTCATAAAATTGGCAAATTTGTGAAGGATTACAATGGACTTTAGTAAATGCACAATTCCACCACACAACATTCGGTCCACAAAGTTAGCTTGTTAGTGGTCCAGCTGTGCAGAATAAATTTCATTCCACACACAAAGGGTCATTTATACACCCCGTAGACCAAAATTTACATGACTACACTTTAAAATTATTTATGACCAATCAAACTTTTATGACCAATCAAGCAACTTTTTTTCATGCAATCTGATTTTCATCTAATACGAAATAGTTAAACTCTAATGTGAGATTATGAATAATTTGGATTGGAATGGCTTTAATGGGAGTTATGAGCGAAAAATATAGGAGTGGTAATTGTTGTAGGGAATATCAGAAATCGTTCAAAAAATGTAAATTGAATTATTGATAGGATGCTCTTTGTTGAGTTTTTAATGATTTACGCTATTCATTTGTGAGCAGCATCTTTGGTGTTCAATGGTTCACTTATATTATGCACTTAATTGTTTTAGAATTTTAACATTTTAATGTTATAATATATTTCAGAATGCGATGGCGAATAGTATAATTTTTCAAGTTTAATGGTTTAATCTTAACTTTTTAAATTTTTGAGAATTGGATATTTTTTGATTAACTTACCAAGTTGCAATAAGGGGAAGGTTGGCGCCATCAAACTAGTTTAACCCCACTTATTGGTCCTAAGTCAGAGGTTGTACTTAGATATTTTATAAATTTTTGTTTCATAATTTTTTAATTTTGTTTGAAAACGTTGGAATTTTATCTCCTATATTCACCATTGATATTTTGAAATGGGATTTAGTATTATAAGATTCATATAATTTCAATTTTTGACTAGATATTTGTGATGTTGTAACATTCGAAAAGGCTATATGTATATATATATTACAGCATCAATAATAATAATTTCACATTTCTTTTTTCTACCACACATTTATTATCAAAATGAGAGAGATATGCATATTATATTAAAAAGCAACCCCTTATATTAGTAAAAAAATATAAATATCTGAGGATGTTTTATTTAAAACCGTATATATTTCAGGAAATATGACGTACTTATTTATTTTTTTAATTTTGAAGAAAGATATTTTTTTATTGATGAAACCTTCTTAAACTATTATAAACACAAAGAAAAATTTCGTTAATTTAAAAATAAACTAATAGGCTCTCTGACCAATCATATAATCACTGTAATATAGTTAACATCCATTAGGAGAATAACGCTGAAATAACATTTAATTTTTAAAAAGCAGACCTTGAGTGTAAGAAAAGTAAAAAATTCTTAACTTAAGAAATTTTGAATTACATATGCTCGATATAAAATCAGACATAAAAAGTTTAATAAGTTTAAAAGCTTTACGTATAAGTTCGTTAGTTTTTGGTCATTATTTTAGTATTACTCGATTTTGTAAATTATTTAAAAGAAAATTTGGCAATTTCCTGATTCATCGGCCGTGTGATAAAGTCGCCAGTGTCGGATACACAACCTGATACCAAAGGAATTTTTCCACTAGTAATCTTTCACATCACACATTTTAAACAATTCGCTGTCTGTTCATATTAGTAAAGTCTTTTTCATAATATATCAAAACCAATGAAAGCTATATGAAAAATCAATAAGAAGTAACATTTATTACGTTTATTTATTTCTTTATCTATTTGTATATGTTGCACTGTAGCCAACACAGCCTACTTGGCGAGATTCGTGCAGACAAAACTAAGAAATACCCCCATTTTTTTTTTTAAACTTTTAAATAATTATTTGATTCTGTTTGACATTTACTGATCTCGCGGTATCGTGTAAAATAATAAGCAATATTCTTTTCAGAATGTTATTTTCATATGGGCTAAGAACATTTAATTTCTCTTGTTTATTGTAATACTTTGTTTTAAAAATCAATAATATTCATAAGTGTCTCATAAACAGAAGATGAATTGTGTAAAAGTATTTTAATTAACTTTGTCATAAACAAAACTAACTTTATTTTATTTTATAGGGATATTTTCAATCCGTATCAAGCTACTTCAACCTTAGAAATTCATGAGAATAGTCATAGATTCCTAAATATTGCGTACAATCGAATTCGCCCTTGATATGAAGAGATAAAAAATAATTCAAGTACGCAATGTCACAGATAATTTTTATTCTTTTCAATAGCACAGATATTAAGTATTTGTTTCAAAAAGTATCAGTTCTCAATATTCAAACACTGATAAACAATCTTCCAAAAAACAAATAAACTTGACCTGAAACATTCAGACATTTTAACTACAGATTTAATGACGTTTATTCGTTAAAATGGATTTCTTAATGTGTCAGAAAACAGGAAGAAGGACAATTGTCCTTCATTTTTTTCGAGCTATACCTGCCATTTACTTCAAACTTGGACATTTTCCAAAGGACCAGAGGGTTTCAATTTGAAAAAAATAATAAATGGACAAACGCAAAGTTTTTTTTTTCCTTTTATTTCTGCTTTTCCCACTATAGTCCCTTATTTTCTCCCGTAACAAATGTATTTGTTGCTTTTCATTTCATAAAAGAAGTTATTTTTCACTATCGATTATTTTATTTCTTCTGTGACAGGACCAGTTTAAACTGAAAAAGGAACATTTTTTTTTCTCGATTTCTTGCATTGTGTCTCCGCCATTCCATGACAACTCTTCTGAAGACTTGTTTTGTTTTGAACGTTTGCTTCGCATTGTGTTCATGCAACAGTGTTTTTTAAAAATCATAAACAAGTTTAACATTTTTTTTTCTAAAGTTTGAAATATGTTATTTGAAAGTTCGATTGAAACACATTTAGCGATTTTCATATAGTTTTCAAAAAATACCTATTGTAATATAAAATGTATCAGAGGCGTGTTGTTTGCATTCTTTTTTTTTCCTTCAATTTCTTTCAAAAATCGAATCATAATATATATTTATTTTTTTTTGCTACTTCCTATATCATTTACCAATTTGGATGTTTAGATTTGTAATTGCCTTATCATTTCTTAGTTGCAAAAAATTGTGGATTTTTCTTTCTTTTGTGAAAACAAGTAACATAAAAAAAAAGTCTATTCCTACTTAGGTGAATAAAGAAAAACTTTATTTTAGTTACATTGATATAAATCACATTGTTCGAAATTAGGCCATCCCAGGTGAGACTCAAACTCACGACCTTTGGATTACAAGTCCAACACACTAACCATTGCGCTATAGAAACATAACGAACGATTTTCCTTCCTACATATCGTGTTGGAGTATTATTTTTACTTGTTACTATTATTACGTTTTTTAGTTTAATTAATGAATTAATATTTGGAAAAAAAACTGTATTAACATCAATTGTTATCCATTACAAGTTTAAGAAATGGTATTATCGACTAATTGTGTTGCATATTTTTTATTTGTTCACCTTTAACAATTTTTTTATTTTATTTCTAATGATAGATTGTGAACAGTCATTATAGAGTTAATCAGTCTACCTTGTACATCACCGAAAGTAGGTATCTCTTTTAAGTGCTGCACCATATTGGCGGATACCAATCGCCGCAGGTAATTTTGACGTCTTGTTTCCTCCCTAGATAGACGCACCTGACCTCTGACGATGCGAACGTGTACTGGGATTTAATTTTTTGTGTAGAACCCTCTAGGGAGCTTTTACATGCCGTATAATCATATGACATTACCGCGGTCGATTTTTTGTATCACGAAAATACATTGACCTTGGCCGGGGTCGAAACCACAACCTTGGGTAACGAAGGCCAGCGAAAAGCCAACCACGCCACCCGTATTTACTTCACCACAACACAAAATATAAATTAAAATTACCACTATTAATTAATTATTGGATATGTAAATTTCATCAAACAGGTTCACTTGAAAGAATTGACAAAAAAAAAGAGATACCTAAAGTCTATTCGTTGAATCATCTTATGCTTACCTGATGCCGATTTTTAAGCCTCATAAACGAATATTAGTTATGTCGTAATTTTACTACTTGTTACAATGGAGAATAGGATAAAATTAAAATGTTCAAACCAATGCAATATACAGGATGTTACCAAATTCGACCGATAAATTCAGAGTAGTGATATTAATAGCTCGGGAATTTCAAATCAACATAAAACAAGGTGTCGCAAACCACATTTAGTTGGAGTTTGTCAAAAACATTTACGGATGGTGCGATGTATAATGGAATGAGAAGGGGCAATAAGAGGCAAGAAATACATTTATTAAACGTGACGCATGTTTGCCATACTAACAATACATCACAGCTCGACATCAGGAATGCAACAGGGTTTCTTTGAAAGCATCCGACAATCCTTCGTCCGTCGGCGTTGATTGTGCTATGATCTACACCAGGGGTAGGCAGACTTTTCCAGGGTGAGGGCTACTTCTAACTTTTTCAAAGTATTGCGTTCCACTCAGTGTCGGTGGGACACACAAAGAGGGGGGGATACAAGGATCCAAATCCTCCCCCATAGCCCATGAGTTTTTCCGACTGATTATAATCCTATGTATATAGTATGTAAAACTTAACTAAATATTTGAAAAATATTTTTTATTAATGCCAATTATTTATTTAGTAATTTAATTTTTACTGTTTGTTCCCGACAATCTACAAAATCAAAAATATATATATATATATATGTTTGGCTGCATATTGGGGTATGATACGAGAATGGTAGACTTTCGACCCTCGACCCCATTCCCCTTCTTGGGTGAACCAATGCCCAGTGCCATAGGTGTAGTGAAATAGGAAAAAAGCCTACAGTATTCATTATAACTTAAGGTATCCGACTATGTTCAGAACCACGATTTTGCAAAAGCGTGTAAATGGATAATATTTATGATATTTAGTGTCACTTAGATTAGAATACATGTATAAAATTGTTTTAAGGACATTATGACAAAAAATTTATTTAAATATGAATATTTTGGCAAAATTAACTTAGAATAACTATTTTCAAATGTTCTCCTTTTGTAAAAAGTTCTTCTATTGTATTAATATTTTGCTCAGATTCAGCTCAGACCTCTACAGTGGCTGAACTAGAATTTTGAAGTGCATAACTTGGAAGTCGGTTTATCCATGTTTTACGAAAACAGAGGGGAGAAATTTTAAGAAAATACGCCGATAATTATTTCAAATGGTTGTAACTCTGAAAATAATGTGAATTTTTCAAACATTATAGTTGAGCCTCTGTACAGAGATCTGAGCTATATACAGGCAAAGTATTAATACAATAGAAGCAGTTTTGTACAAAAGGAGAACATTTGGAAAAAAGCTATTCTGCTAATTTCTATTAAATGGGTTAGGCTAAATTAATGTGTTTTTGGTTGGCACGTCCCCCAATACAATTTGGCATATGTATTCTAATTCTATGACACTAAATATCCTAAAAATCAACCATTTATGTGCTTTTTTAAAATCATTGTTCCGAACGTAGTCGGATACCTTAATATAATAAAAATACCGAATATATAATTACCTCTACAAAACTAAAATAAGAAACTTACACTTTTAAAACCAAGTTTAAAGCAAAATGCAAGATACAAACATAATAATAATAGCTACAAATATAATAATATCAAATGATGCATTTTTTACCAAACTGTTCAAAATATATAAAAACATTAAACACTTTTATCTAAAGTTAGATAGTTTCGTTGTTGTAGTCAGCAAAAGACTTATAGTCTGCATATTCAGACAATCTTCAATATTTACTTATATACTATTAATTTCTTGATACAACCTTTCAGGCATTCAAATTCTAAAATGTCTTAAGAAGTCGCGATCAGGATCGCACGCCCCTCCGAAACTATGTGGTCGTTACTTCAAAGAGTTCCTTGGAAATCACTTGATGTGGCAATTCTGACGTCGAGCTGTGATGCATTGTTCGTAGTGGAATTATGCGTTGTGTCTAATGAATATATTCATTTACCTCTTATTGTCCCTTTTCATTCCATTCGACATCACATTCTTCAAAACTGTTTTTGCGAATTGCTCCGACTTGCGACCCAATGTTCTATGTCGATTTGTCGTCCCCGTGCTACCTACCATCATTCTTCTAAATTTGTTGCCGAATTTATATGCAACAATCTTGCATTGAAGGAAAAATCTGCTTCTGATAATGCACTTACGCCTGACTAAACTTAGTAAACCCATGACATAAAGTCTTCTACTGTCCATGAATAAAGTAGAATTATTAAAATCAAAATTATTCGTTTAATTTTCGTAAATGTCTTAATAACGTAATTTCAATTTGGTTAAAAATATGATATTACAGGACGATGGGGATATTCCACCTCTCCTTAATGCTCTTCATAATAGATAGTACAAAGTTAAAACCCCCACGATTACATTTTTATAAGAAAACCGATGACGAAATCTAATTTCCTAAAAGGTATTTTCATTCATATACACAAGAATAATGGCTGAACTAGAACTTCGTGAAATTGAGGATAAGGAATTTTTCGCGAAAGCATTTCTAGGTGTTTTAAAGAATCCTGAAACTATTTTTTCAGAAATATTGATGCACCATAAAATGTACAATCTGAAGAAATTGCTATGTGCAGCATATATAGAGATAGCAGTTATTCTAAGGGGATCAACGCCATTAATTCAGCCTGTAGATGTGTGTATGAATAAGCCATTCAAAGTAAAATTAAAACTACAGTGGAATATGTAGGTGTGTGTTAGAAGAGGAAAAATCATTTATAAAAGGAGGTCAAATGCATATGTATAAATCTTATTGTTGTGTGCTAAATCTTTCTTTAGTTTTAAAGCCATCTATTTTATACTCAGTGCAAAACATGAACCAGTGAATTTTGATCATATTTTCTGTGTTAAAAGTGTGAGTTATAAGCCAGATTATTCAGTAAAAAAATCGTTTATTTACACGCATATTTTTAAACATTAATATATCCTGGTATTCGTCTAATTATTTATACAGATACAAAAAATAAGCCTCTCTTAATTAACTGCACTATTAATTTCTGTATCTATTTTAATCCTGTATTTCAATCAATAGATTATTCCATTAAATTTTTACTGAGTCAAAGGGTGACGTATTCTCTATTCGCGATCTTTCTATTAATCCTCTTGAGGAAATCCTTCTTTAACTGTGATTTGAGTTCGAAACCACCTTCCGAGAGATATATATATAACTTGATTTTATGCTAACTCGAGTGTCAATTAAAACATGGTAATGGACGGATTAAAGTTAGTCGTTGGTCCTGACGCCATCATTAAAGCAATTTGAAAGAAATGCTGTTCAAAAAAGGGAAAGAAAAAAGAGAAATGGTTTTTAAGGTATCCAACAACGTTCGGAACCGTGATTTTGCAAAAGCCTGTAAATGGATAATATTTATGATAGTTAGCGTAAGTTAGATTAGACAATGTATATAAAATTGGGTTAAGAATAAATTAAATAAAAAAATTTTTAGGAATATTTTGACAGGTTAACTTGAAATTGTTTAAATGCCTTGGCGCATTGTAAAATTTTGCCTGTAGTCTCAGACCCTGCACAGAGTGTTCAACTATAATTTTTGGGAAAAGCATAACTTGTAAGTCGGTTTATCCATATTTACGAAAACAGAAGGGAGAAATTTTAGGAAATACGCCGATAATTATTTCAAATGGTTGTAACTCTGAAAATAATGTGAATTTTTCAAAAACATAGTTGAGGCTCTGTACAGAGGTCTGAGGTATATACAGGCAAAATATTAATACAATAGAAGCTTTTTTTACAAAAGGAGAACATTTGGAAAAAAGGTTATTCAAAGAAAATTTTTTGCCAAAATATTATATTTAAATAATTTTTTTTTTTGTCATAATGTCCTTAAAATAATTTTATACATGTATTATATAATCTAAGTGACACTAAATATCATGAAAAATATACATGTATGCGCTTTTTTAAAATCATGGTTCCGAACGCAGTCGGATACCTTAAGAGACCTGTAACAACCTAAAAATGATCCGACAAGTTATCTACAATCGGATCAAGAGATAAGTGCCTATTTGATAATCTTATAAGCTTAGATAAGGAAACTAATTAAGATTGCTCCTACGATTATTGAACTTAAATTAATGATAAGCTGATCAGAGAGAGCCGTAAAAAAAAGTAATTATTTTTATAATAATGCATGTATCCTTGATGTCCTAAACTCTACATGCAAACTTCGGATTGCGATCAAAGCCTTCATGTTATCGTCCGT